GGGGGGGGATTGCTGGTAATAGAACTGTACATATGGGGGCAGGGTGAGGTGGGGAAAATAGAACTGTACGTACGACTGCTCCTAGAATTTCTGAGCTGGCTCCCATGGCTTAGGAGACCCGTCTAGGCTCATAGCATGCACTGCAGATGTACTAAGTTTATAAGTTCATCGCTTTCACCATTACTCCGGGGTCTGTATGATGGACTGTAGCCGGAATGATCCGGGAGCTCGTCCCATGGATATGTAAAGTACTTCCTGAAATCTTAGCACTTTAGCTCTATAACTTCCTTCTCGGGTTTGAGTTTCAGTAACTTGCTCCGGTATAATCTGTGTTGCTAAGAGCAGGCTTCCATAGACTCCGGGTACTGGACAGCTGATGCATGCGATGGATTTCAGCCTAAACGTTTTATTTTGGTAAAGTTTCAATGGAAATGCAGCTTCTGTCTCTCAGGTTGTATGTTACTTGCTCACCATGATGATTGCTTTCACATTCAGCCAACTTCCTGTCCTTGCACGAGGTCACCGTTTGTGAAAGAGTTAATTGACCTCCTGTCATGGTGTGTTGTAAAGCTGACGGGAGATGGGTTACTATACGTCATGTCACCTCCGTGCCGGGTGACGTGACCATTGCCTAAAATCTCCCTTACTCGAAAGCAGAGGCAGGTAGCTTTGGCCCTCCAGCTGTGGTGGCACTACAAGTCCCATGATGCATTGCATGTCTTTGATAGCCACAGGTATCAACCTCAGAGGCCAGCTGTGGCGAAACTACACATCCCAGCATAAGTTACGAAGCCTAAATTCAATAGTAGCCATTACAAATTAGTGTGGGGAAGCGTGAGAACTCCTCCTGTTCTGGGATTTATTGCTGCCTGTGAGATTCACTCTTTTATTTGTCCCCGGTAGAGGTGTCACTGGGTCAGGAGGTAAGGGTGAATCTTCCAATGGGGACATGTGTTGGGATTTCCCGTTGAGTTTGGAGAAATTTTGGTCTCGCTTCCTATTGTCTCTGGGACAAGTAGAGGGAAATCTACCAGAGGAGACGCGGCAAAAAAATAAAAAAAATTATTGATTCTTTAAATTGTTCCAACGTATTCGTTCTAAAACTCTGATTTGTCCCCTCACCCAAAAAGGCTTTTTACATCTGTGCTTGTATTAAAATAAAAATACATAGATCTGATCTGTAAAATATCACCATTTGACTGACTCGGTGCTTGCCGAATATACCGTGACCGTGTCCTTTAATATCGGTCACTTCTGTATTGGGCTAATGGTGAGATGTAATTGTGTTTGCACGGCTTTGTTTTGCTTTTCTCCCCCATTAGTTTTATGATCAAAGTGCAGCTCCACCCAAAACAAGCATGTTTGTTGTTTCTGCTACATTGAGACACATTCCACTTTCCTGACACTTAAAATAGAATAGAGCGGATCATGGTGTCCAAATCAGCAGACGAGACGTTATGACCTCATGGAGGCAGCAGACGCACGTACTGCAATGAGGAAATCCAGATATCGGGGTCTTTGAATAAAGGAGCCCAAAATGTTAAATATCTGTTAGGGTTTGAGTGAGGTCCGGGTGGGTGGGTGAGGTTTGGGTGGGTGAGGATTTTACTTGGGGCAGTTTTTGGATGTCCTGTGGTTGTAATAAAGCCTTTTGTATGTATATGATTGTCACGTTTTTTTCTTCCTCTGTTACTGGACACTAACATTCTATTCCTTCTCTCCAGTAGACTGAGCCTTGTGGAGCAGCAGCCATGACGGAAATCAGTGACCTCGACCGACAAATCGAACAGCTCAGACGCTGTGAACTCATCAAAGAGAGTGAAGTAAAAGCCCTTTGTGCCAAGGCCCGGTGAGTGTCCATATACTGACCATTGTGACTTCTATCTGTGTGCTTTGATAAATCGTGTGCACTGCGCTACTGCTCATAAACGTGCATAAGCTGCCTAACAATGTCTACATTTTCATAAACATAATTTATTTATGAGCAGTAACGCAGTGCACACGATTTATCAATTCACTTATTTATAGCACAGCAGCTGACACTGTTTAGTCTAATCATTGGATTTACTTTATATATATATATATATATATATTTTACACATCTGTGTGCTTGATGAGCAGTCTAATGGGGTTTTACCAGGGCTAGTGTTTTGCCCTTGGCCCTACAAGGTACGCCCTGGAAAGTACAGGAGCCTGGGCTATATTAAATCTAGTCGTCTAGTTATCCATTAAACTAGAACTGGTGGATTTTTTTGACTTCTTTTTTTTTCCTCCACCAATTGTCTCGCAGGAGCTTAAAATATAAAGCCTGTGACACCCTGCATGCACAGCGGCACACAGCAAAGGGGAAATGGCGACGCACAGACCTTCACCTGCCTGTGTGTGTTTTAAATTTTCGATCTGGCGCGTCGGCTTGCAAGAGCTAGCCTAGTTGAGCGTGCTGAGATGAAAACTTTCATCTTCAGCCAATCTGCTTGCACGTATCAACCTACATGTCAGGATGTGAAGTCCATTGAGTTGTTAAGCGTGAGCCAATTGGCTGAAGATTAAAGGAGAACTATGAGGTGTGATTTTTCACTCAACCTCATAGTTCGAGCCGACGTGTGACAATGAAACTGTCACACGTTGACTCAATAGATCGGGAAGTGAGTGAACACCTAGTCGCTCGCTCACTTCTCGATCATGCCCCTGCAGAGAGCCGTGACTGTCACTCATGGCTCCCTGTAGGGATTCCCCCCGCTCCGATCCTCCAGAGCTGACTGACGAAAGTGGGAGGGGGGCGGGTACAGCTGGCTCTGCCTCTAGCTAGGCAGAGAAAGTTGTCAATCATGCAGCTGGGTGGATCTCGACAGTAATGTCAGGAATCCGTCGCGGAACTATGGGGAAGAACACTTACCCCATAGTTCTCCTTTTTGAAAGGAGAACTATGGGATTAGGGCTTTTCCCCATCAGTGGCGTCACAAGGGGGGTGCGGCCCGCACCCGGGTGACACCATTGGAGGGGTGACACCAAAATGACTCATGGTGACACCAAAATGGTCATGGACTGAATGCCCGGCAGTATCAGGAGAGAGGAGGGGACCTGGCGGCATACCTTATCCCGCCGGCTGACTGTGCCCTCCTCTCTCTGCCGGCGTCCCATCACCAAGATGGCCACCGGCAGGTATCGGAATACTGCTGTGCGTGCACGTCACGCGCATGAGCAGTGATGTCTCGGCGGGGTGACACTCGGTTACAGCTCCGGGTGTCACCCAGCCTCGGGACGAACCTGTTCCCCATAGTTCTCCTTAGGGTAACGGGAGGACACAAACTAGCGTCCTCCCGTCACCCAAAGCTCCTTATATAGTGAGCTACAGCTCGCGGGATCCTGATGACGTCTCGGCGGGGTGACACTCGGTTACAGCTCCGGGTGTCACCCAGCCTCGGGACGAACCTGTTCCCCATAGTTCTCCTTAGGGTAACGGGAGGACACAAACTAGCGTCCTCCCGTCACCCAAAGCTCATTATATAGTGAGCTACAGCTCGCGGTATACTGAGACGCCGCAGCTGAATCTGATGCCGACAATTATGTCTGGATCCACCCAGCTGCGTGAGTGACAGCTGGCTCTGCCTATCTAGAGGCAGAGCCAGCTGTACCCACCCCCTCCCCCATCCGTTCCGCCAGTCAGCGCTGGAGGATCGGAGCAGGGAGGGGGAAATCCAGTCACTCCCTCTGCCGTGACAGGATCGAGAAGTGAGCGAGCGCCGGTATGTGTTCGCTCACCTCCCGATCTACTGAGCTGACCTGTGACAGTCTCATTGTCACAGGTCGGCTAGAACTATGAGGTGAGTGAAAAGCACCCGCCTCATAGTTCTTTAAGTATTTTATTTTTTTTTTTCTTAAATCTAGCTACACTCGCGCTTCGATTTTTGCTCCGCACTGCTTTGCGTGCAGTGTCACATGCTTAATACCAAATCTCTGGCTCTGTCCCCTGCAGTACCTCTTCTCTGCCACTAATGTCCTCAGTCTTTAGTTTAAAGGCAGGGGTGTTTAACTGCGGCCTTCCAGCTGTGCTTCAATAAATCCCATTATGCCTCTGGGAGTCATGCCTGTGGCTGCCAGTCTTGTAATGCCTCATGGGACTGCAGGGCCAGAGATGCCCACCCCTGGTTTAAAGGGGGTCATTGACCATGGAAGACAGGGGACCTGCTGTGAGGTTGATCACGCGTATTATCTTTACTCCATGCTTTCTTATTGAGAAGCTGTTGCAAATGTATCCTATTAGTCGGGACCAATGGCTGAACCCTTATTCCTTTTAATAGAAACTGGAACACAAAGACAGAGTAATCTATCTGTCGTTCTAAACTGGACAGTATCACCTAGGGGCAGAACTAGAATATGAGAAGGATTGTTTCATCTACGTCTCTATAAACAGTATGCGAACACTTACCAAAACGGACAAGTTACATGAGAAGTTAATTGCCTAGTTTGTGTAGTACAGGGACTTTCTTAGGGGAATTAGAACAATAAAATGGATGGCCTGAGAAAGCCGCATCTGTTTTGTAGTATGCTTGGATGGTCCGGTAGAGAAAATGCTGAACTCTGTCCGTGTCCCTTTTTATTCACAGTGAAATTCTAGTAGAAGAAAGCAATGTCCAGAGGGTGGACTCCCCCGTCACGGTAAGAAATGTTCTCTTCTGTCCTCATATGGAGGAAGTAGATCAGCTTTTTTATTTTAGAAAGGCGGACGCACAAATGTCTGGTCATCTTACAACAGAAGTAGTAGTGTTTTTGCTACTGCTGTCATCAGAGTGCAGCCGTCACATGTGGGCAGCACAGACCAGCTCCATTTGGCTGCCACCTTGGAAGATGGGTGGACTTGTGAGTTGTTGTCTTCCTTTGTCTGAGATGCAGTTCAGGGAAGAGACAGAATACCCCCATGTCCTGCTAATGTTACACAAACCGAAGTATGAAGCAGAGTACTTGCCATGTTTGTGACTTCCTGGGATGCACGCAGACATTCATGGGCAAGGAGGCCATTATTAATGATGCTATTGCATTGCTGTTGTTAAATTAACCTGAACGAGCTAGAACTGCCCGAAGCAAAAAGAGCCCATTGAGTATGTAGCAGTTACTCCACTTGGTGGTTTGTCAAGTACTTTGTGTGAGTATTCATTGTTTTTTCATCCATAACAGGTGTGTGGCGATATCCACGGACAGTTTTATGACCTGAAAGAATTATTCAGGGTGAGTACTAAATTAATGTGATAATTTTTTTCTCTGCTAATTTTTCCATCGTTTATCTTCCTATAATCTGTCCCTTTGAACATTTGTGGCATTTCTCTCTCTCTCTGTTCTCCAGCACTGCCCTTCTTTTCTGCTCCTTGCTGGCCACTTGCCAACCCTTTTCCGTGTGCCCAGGCTAGCATTGTTATCAACAATCTTCCCATAAGATTTAGCATGTTAGACTCCCTTGGGTAGCCATCCTAAAGCCCTGACACTGCCATCTTGAATGTGGTGTTAGCAGAATCGGAGCTGTCCCTTAAGTGACTATAGTTTTTCCTCTTCGCTTCCCCCCCCCGCAAGATATGTAAAGGCTGCTGTGGGGGGGGCAGAGGAGCTGGGCCAGCAGACAGTAATGAATCATTCCCAGGAGAGGGATATGATGCAAGGAGGGATGGGGCTGCTTAAAATACTGCATTTTTCAGTGCTTTTCCCTGCAATTCAAGTCAGTGACAGGGTCTCTTTTTAGGTATGTATGTAGTATTTTATTTTTTTAAATTGCAGGGTGGAGGGGTCTATAGAAGAGCTTTACATGAGTCAGTCTGTGTGCATGAAATGCTCGATCATTGTGACTAAGTACATGGCGTTTACAGGGCATGACATGAATTTTTTTTCTCTTTCAGGTGGGGGGAGATGTTCCAGAAACCAATTATCTGTTCATGGGAGACTTTGTGGACCGTGGCTTTTATAGCGTTGAAACATTCCTCCTCCTCCTAGCATTAAAGGTAAAAGGAAAACAGAACGGCTTGTCCTTGTCCGGTCTCCAATACTTGTGTTCCCTCCTGGCTTTTGATGCTGGATTGATGGGGTCAAGGGGGTAATCTAGGATCCGAGGGGGGGGGGCTTCTCAGGAATTGATTAACATCGGTACATAATGCACCAATTCAACACAGAATCATTTTACATTTAAACATTTTTCTGTTAGAGAAATTGGTGAAACCGTGCCCCCAGTTCAGAGAAGTAAGTCTCTCCATCTGAGACCATGTCATGGGTTGCAGCTTACACTTGCTGTATTCACCCCCTGTCCTAATAAGTGACTGGCCAAGCACCAGTGCTGTCAGAAGTAGGCTCTTTTTCTGCTCCCTATGGCTGAATGGGAAGATTGTGTCCTGCTGGGAAGGGACAGTTATGTGGATCAGCATTAGCAAAGTGCCCAGATTTAAAGCAGAACCCCAGTCTGCAGCAGTCTATATTTTGTACTTGCCTCCCAATTGCAGTTCAGCAGCTTTTCTTCCCTTATTTTAACATTTATCTGAAGCTTGTCTACCTTTTAAGAATGGAAAGAAAAGGTCACATGACCATGGGTTTTGTTTTTTCCCCATCCTGCTCTACCAGTGGGAGGAGTTGGGTGTAGTCAGCAGTGCAGTGATGCCCAAAAGTAGTTGACATTTAGCATTCTGCTTATATCTGAACCAGGGGTGGGCAACTCCGGCCCTCCCAGCTGTTCAACTAAAAGTCCCATGAGGCATTGCAAGGCTAACAACCACAGGCATGACTCCTAGAGGCAGAGGCATTTTGGGATTTGTAGTTAAAGCGCAGCTAGAGGGCCGCAGTTGCCTAACCCTGATCTGAACAAATACACAGAAATTTACCTAAATGTGAGCTGCTGCTTTTTAGCTTGAGGGATGCTTTAGAATATGTTGCTGAACGGCTGGATGTAACCTCTGTGACATTGCAGGTCCGCTACCCAGATAGGATCACACTGATCCGCGGGAATCACGAAAGTCGGCAGATCACCCAAGTGTATGGTTTCTACGACGAGTGTCTGCGCAAATATGGCTCTGTAACCGTGTGGAGGTACTGCACAGAGATCTTCGACTATCTCAGCCTGTCTGCCATCATTGACGGAAAGGTGAGGAATGCCATTTTATCTTAGAACTGATCGGATTATTCACCTTTTTTGGATTGTTTGTGAATGTTAAACCGCCCGATAGTTACCATTTCCTTGAGGTAACGTGTCCAATTACCTAATGTTTGGTCTTCAGTATTGCCTTATGATCGGTTGTCCTTCCTCACTGGTTACTTGTTTCTTTGGGTTTGTCAAGATTTTCTTTCCCCCCTATAAAATGAAGTCTTGATCTTTCTTCCCTCAGATTTTCTGTGTGCATGGTGGCTTGTCGCCGTCTATACAGACCCTGGACCAGATCCGAACCATAGACCGCAAACAGGAAGTCCCCCATGACGGGCCCATGTGTGACCTTCTCTGGTCTGATCCAGAAGGTAAGTTTGCTGCAGTGTCAGGCCAACACTTACCCTTTTGAAAGACTGTCTAGGTGCCATTTGCTACTTTCACTCATATTTTGTAACAAAATGATTTCCTATGACCGCTTTGTAGCTGAGCTGTGTCTTTTTGCCTCTTGGTTTGATAGTGCAGGCAATATATGAAAGGTCCAAATGCACACGGACAGTTTGTAGACACTTGACCATCACAGCTGTTTGAGATTGTTGAGCATCCTATTACAAAACCATCGCCATACACCACAAGACTCACCTCCTTTGTTTTAATTTCTGAGGTCAGGTACCGATGAATGAGAAGATCTGGCTTGCAGTTTGTCTTCCAGTTCATTCCAAAGGTGTTCAGTAGGGTTGAGGTCGGGGCTCTGTGCGGGACACTTGAGTTTCTACACACCAAACCGGTCAAATGGGTCTTTGTGGAGCCGGCTTTGTGCACAGGTGACATGGTGGGACAGAAAAGGACCTTCCCCACATTCTCTCCACAGAGTTGGAAGAGCACCATTTCCTATAGGGATGCACCGATACTAGTATCGGCGCCAATACCAACCAAATGCTCAGATACTTGCCTCCGACACCGAACTTCTGGTCCGAGGGAGATCTCCCTCTGACCAGCAGTGCCAAGGGAGCATGGAGCCGGCTTCCTTTCCAATCAGAAAGACAGGAGACTGGTCATGACCTGCTTCCCGGGTTCCTGATTGGTCAGGAAGCAAGGCTGCCTAGCAACAAGTGAAGCTGACTTCCTAGTCAGTCAGGAATGGGGGGGGGGGGGGGGGTCATGAGGTGCCACCTGGCTTTCTGATTGGCTAGGAAGCCGGCTTCACTTGTTGCTTGGTCATGAAGCCAGGCTGCCTATCTGGAAGCTGCACTGCACCTCATGACCTGCCATCCGGCTTCCTGATTAGCCAGGAAGTGAAGCCAGTGTTCTTTTGATAGAACACCGGCTTCCCAGGGGAGCTGGGCGGCGGGTCATGATATGGGGCCAAGTGTGTAATATGCTTTTCTGCTTTCTAGACACCACTGGATGGGGGGTGAGCCCACGAGGAGCCGGTTACCTTTTCGGCAGCGACGTTGTAGCGCAGTTCAACGCAGCCAACAACATAGATATGATCTGTCGGGCACATCAGCTGGTTATGGAAGGGTACAAGTGGCATTTCAATGAGACCGTCTTGACGGTGTGGTCGGCTCCAAACTACTGTTATAGGTGAGTGTCCTTCTCTGTGGGGTTACTTTTTTTTCCCCCCTTTCCTGCTCCTTGTAACTGTCACTGACTCTTCCTCTCTGATTCCCACCTAGATGTGGAAATGTCGCTGCCATACTTGAACTGGACGAACACCTCCAAAAAGAGTTTATCATCTTCGAAGCCGCGCCACAAGAGACCAGAGGCATTCCCTCAAAGAAGCCGGTCGCTGACTACTTCCTGTGACTTGCCCTCTCCCCTTCGCCTCTGGGGCCTCTTCACTATTTCCTCCTGATGTCTCTTGACCTTCTCCCCAGCACCCTTTCTCTCTGGGCCGTGGGACCAGCACGCTCTGAGGTGTGGAAGAACCTGTCGAGAGAGGGAACCTCTCTTGGTCCTTTTTTCGGTCTTGCAAAGGATGATGTGATGCAGTGAGGGGGGTGTAACGGGGACGGTGAACTCTTGTTTTTGACATTGGGGAAGGGCAGTCACAACGTTTTCGGGGGATAGAGAAGTGCTCTGCGGGTTGGAAAATGGAGCAATGTACCGTGTTTTCATCTACCAACAAGCCTCCGGATTATTCCTCCTTCCACCCCTCTCCTCCTTTCTCTCTGCCATCTTTTTATATAGCCGCCCTTTGCATTTAAGATACAAAAAGTCAACTGTTTCCCAGTATTCCCCCCCCGACATCCTGCACATTATATCGGTCAAGTTTTTATTATTTTTTATTTTACTTTTTGGTAGATACAGCCACAGAAGTCTGCTAATAAAACACAGAAAAAGATTTAAAAAGAAAAAACTGGAAACTTCAAATTGTGTCTTTTGGTTTGTTTCGGTTATTGGCCGTGTTTGCTTGATGCAAATGATTGCAGAAGGGGATGGATGCTGGATGACTGACTGAAAAAGTGACACTAAACTCAAGAATTACGTCTTTAAAATACATTCCAGTCCCTGAACAACAATGTCTCTTATTTGTGTATCACTCGGCTGGAGATCCTCCAATCATCTCTGACACTGTCCTTCCTTCTGGAGGGGGGCTACGTCTGTTCCCCATGGTCCCTGTGTGTGTTGTAAAGTAGTCACCGCTCCAAGCTCGCTCCTGGGATGGACTACAGTCTCAATACAAATGAGTAAACTAAACCTGAGATTGTAGTCCATCGCGCCAGTGAGCTTGGAGCGGTGACTACTTTAAAACACACACGGGGACCATGGGGAACAGACGTAGCCTCCCCCCTCCAGAAGGAAGGACAGTGTCAGATGATTGGAGGACCTACAGCCGAGTGATACACAAATAAGATACAGTGTTGTTCATAGTTCAGGGAATGTATTTTTAAGATGTAAGTCCGGAGTTTAGTGTCAATTTAAGCTAGTGTGCTTGGGTGGATGGTGAGATGTGTGGAAGGATGAGGGAGCCATGGAAGTGGTAGGAGTGCAGTAGTTTTTTTTATTATTGTACATACATAATAAAACCATAAGTCCAAGAAGTCCATCGTGCCCCTACAGCGTTTAGAAACCAGAAGCCTTGCTGCACTCCTTAACGGAACATCAGAGAAACCCGTGCAAACGGGTGGTTGCTTGTAGTGACCACGGACGGCACCATGAGTAACACAGAAGAAGAAATGGTGTCACCAGCACACCGTATAATTAATTAGCAAAGTTCATTTAATGACACATTGCCTCAAGGGGTTCCCTTCATCAGGCTCAGAATGAGGCATCCGTGGCATGAATGAAGGGGACCCCTGAGGCACCGAAAGCGCTTGCATTGAATGGCAATGTGTCATTAAATGGACTTTTGCTAATTAACCGTACAGCATTTAGACCCAATCATAAAAGGGTGAGTTGGCAGATGGTGCCACTACCAATCCAAGATATATCGCCAGCCCACCTTGTTCAGATGAGAAGACCGGACGCTATTGTCGCCAACCGGAAGCAATGTTTCAAGGCCACTAGGGATCTCTTCCTCAATCAGCAGTGACCGTTACGGAGTCCCTAGCAGCCTTGAAACATTGCTCCCCGTTGGTGGCGGTTATTTGTCTTGTCCTCTCATTGGAACACGAGATCAAAAGTGTGCTCTTGATATCTTTTTGGTTTAGAACAGAATGAAGCGGCAGCATTTCAGGGGCTCACAACTCCCCTCACCAGGTCCTAAAATGCTCTGGAATGTGCTGTTTTATTCTACTATCCACAATAAAAACCTAGTGGACTGGTACTAGTTCCATGGCGCTCTTCTGCATATCTAAGACTGTTCTGGAGATACCGGAATTGCCTTCTAAGTTTTGTCCTCTAGCATTTACCTGCAGACACACACGCAAGTGACATAGCAGCCAAGGAAGGTGTGTGGTGTCACAACATGGCGACATTTCGGAACCTGTTTGATCCCTTTTATCGGGCAGGGTCTTTGCTTGCCTGATGAAGGGACCAATCAGGTTCCGGAACTTCGCCTTGTTGTGACACCACAGAGGTCAATAAAATATTGACGGAACTTGAGCTGGAGTGCGAGTGGCTTCGTATTTATAGAGCTGCAGACTTGTCGCACTCAGTGGTGAATTGATAAGAATATTATTGGCTTCTCAAACTTAATATTGTATTCACTGGAGGTGCCAATGGCCAGCACAGTGACTTAGGGGTTTGCGCTTCTGACTTTCAGTACTGAGGTTGTCACTTCAAATCCTGCCCAGGACACTATCTCTAGGGAGTTTGTATGATCTCCCCGTGCTTGTGTGGGTTTCCTCCAGGTGACCTGCTTTCCTTCCACACTCCAAAGGCATTGTGGAAGGTTCATTTGGCACTTGCTCACATTGGCCATGTATGTATGTTAGGGACCTTAAGCTGTACTCGTTGGGGGGCAGGGATGATGTGAATGTGCAGTATGTGACGGGCTGCATGAAATTCCATTGCTGTATCAATAAATCCCATTCGCACTGCCACGGTCTCAAAACCACAAGGTATATGTGGTGCCCAGGTGACCACATGGATGGCGCCGTGCAAAACACTAATGGTAGCTAAAAGTAATTCACCGGCACACACTTGAAGGGTTTTTAAAGTATTGATATGTTTATTCAATACCCAACGTCACATGCTGTCATACGGTGCTAACGTTTCAGGTCCGCACAGGGATCCTTCATCGGAGCGCGTCACTGTCGCTCTGATGAAGGATCCCTGTGCGCACCCGAAACGTTAGCACCGTATGACAGTATGTGACATTGGGTAATAAACATATCAATACTTTAAAAACCCTTCATCTGCTATCGCTGTATAAATGACGAATGGTGAGTATTGTATGAGCATTTTCCAAA